TCTGTAATGGAATACATTTTAAAAGTAACCTTCCCAACACTGTCCACACCTATACTAAGATACTTATATAGAGACTGAATTGATTGTATACTGAAACATAAGTGAAACACTTAATCACTATCAAGAGATCTAACGACTGAGATATCAATATTCAGGCTGATTACAATGATGACGATGCTATACGTGTTTGTAACACATAATTAGACAATAAACTGTTGCACTTTGTTCTTGATGTCTTTTTTTCATCATCGTAATACAAACTAAACACGTCCTTTGTGATTGTACAACTGGCTTATCATATTATACCGCGAAGGGCTGTCTGGGTAAAACACTGTATACTTAAGAATTTATCCTGCTACTTCTACATTGCTGTATAACATGATGTAACATTGGCTTCATCATTTTTGGAAGATAAGGTATTTTTCAGATCACGATTGCTTTGCTTTGACCGAGTTGGACACACAAGAAATACTTCACAGTGGAGGTGTCCAGTAGGCATATAGTCAGATACCCAAACTACACAGGTATCTATCTACAGGCTTCACTTTGAGTTTTTTTAAACATCTTGTATAGTGGTTATGTTAGTGGTAATAGGAAGGGTATGAAGTAAGTGTCAAACACCAGCCCAACTTCTAAAGTATTACAAAAATACAAAGTGACAGATGACTTGACCTGTAACTGGCGCTACATGTCAGCTGGCTTCCTGTTTCACGCGCCCCCAACATTCTGAAAATAGTTTGTTTCCAAGTAATCCGTCAGGTGTTCTCACTGAATATGGTGAAGATGCTTTCTTGAAGCCATGTGCACAAATTCTTGCAACAGTCATAGCTTTCCAGCTAACACATCATGCTAACAAACAATAACTTTTCACACTGTTGTCACTCTTAAAGTATATTAAGTTAATAAGCTTCTTAATTTTCTTTTAAATTTTCCTTTCATCATGAACCCCAAAAAACATTTTACCCCATGGTTTTAACATTCTTGCTATAAATTGAAAACGTTATAAAATGTCTTCTTTCTTTAACATTGTTCATGGAGTTTGTACTGTGAGTTGACTCTATCAAGTCATATACTTGAATCTTGGACCAATTTATAGCAAAGCCTGTCTCACAATATCTCATCCACAAAAATGTTATATTCACCTTTTTGTTTTGTTTGATTTGATTTATTTTAAGCTTTATTGAAAGATTTTGAATCTATAACAATGCATAATGTGACCCTTGTTAGAACTATATTACTATTAAGCCTGCTTAAAGACTCCAACTAAGACTAATGAGCTACTTTTTTTTTCAGCTTCTGGAGGTGTCAGAGATGATCTCTTTATAAATGTGGTTTGACACCCCATCATTTGCATGTACAAAAACACAAACACTTCCTCCTTTATTACAAGGAAGCATTTAAAGCCTGAAGTGTCAGTGAAGTGCCCCATTGCTCTTCAGTAACTCACCTTGACATTGATCTCACCATGTTTACCCACTGTAGCCTGGCAGCACTGATACTCGTGCTAACTCTTCATGATCAAGGTAAGGCTCTTTTAATAGCACAAACGTTTATACAAAGTCAAAACGGAGTCCATGAAGTTAAGATTTTGATGCATAGAATATGAAAACCTTTTTCTCTCCAGTTCATACAGGAGAAATCGTGGGTGGCCGTGAAGTTGCACCACATAGCAGGCCCTACATGGTATTTTTGGAGCTGAAAAAGTCAAATGGTAATACAACATACTGTGATGGCTTCCTTGTAAATGAGCATTTTGTGATGACTGCTGCCCACTGCGAAGCCAGGTGAGTTTAACCCACTCATGTTTATCTAAAATGAATTATGCGGCCAAGTAAATTGTGTTATCACAATAATGCTAAAGTTGCACAACTTCAAGCCACAACCTTTGACTGCGATATAGGTTTCATGAAGGATTTATCTTTTCTTTTGTCAATACTAAAAATTATTATCTTTATTGTTATATTTGTTATATTTTTCCCCTATTTTTTCAGTTCGTATAAAGTCTTTCTGGGACTTCATGATTACAAAAATCGCAGAAGTGTACAGATAGTGACTGTGGATGAGACAAATGCTTTTCCACACGAAGGCTACGACAAAATGTCTTCCAAAAATGACATAATGCTTCTTAAGGTAAATAAAGACCAAAATAACTGTATTTAACAAAATGATTATTATTAATTTGAGCTATAATCAACTTTCATTTATTATATTAGGAAAAGCTCAGTCATCAACAAACAGCTGTTAATCTATATACTGTATATATTGATACTAAAATTTTCTTATTTCTCGTTTTCTTGAAGTTGCATCCCAAGGCTGAGTTCAACAAGAATGTGACATCTATTGCTCTCGCAGGCCGTGATGATGTCCCAAAATCATGTGCAGTCCTTGGCTGGGGAAAAACAGAGAATGGCAAAGCATCTGATGTACTCCGGGAAGTCAATGTGAAGCTGACTGACACTAAGTTTTGCGCTAAGGAAAAAAAGTACTGCTCTAAAGGTACAACTGGACCAAGCAACGTAAGTAGATTTTGCATCTTATAACAAGAAAGAAAAAAGAGCATTGATCAGCATTGATAATTAGCTCATTGTTCACTTATGATCACAATAACTACATACTGTGCTTGTACTTCCAGGGAGACTCTGGTGGCCCGTTAGTCTGTGAATGTGGAAAGGCGTATGGGGTGGTGTCTGGCAGCCATCAAAACACCTACGGTTATATGATGATACCTGAATACAGAGACTGGATTGATTGCGTACTAAAACATAAGTGAAAGTCATAATACATTTAAACCTCAGATCGCTAAGACATCTGATGACTGAGATATCAATATTTAGACTGATTCCACTGAACTGAGACTGCCTAACAGACAAGATATCATTGTGACCTAATATACTGATACTGCATTTCATGTTCTTAAAAACAGTAATAATCAATTATTGCTTTGCCTTTCTGTTAGAGTAGATTCAAAGAGAACCCATGACGTTATGCTTGTTTGTAACATTTAATGAGACAATAAACTTTTTTTCTTTGATGTCTTATTTTCTTAATAGCAATGCAAACAAAGCATATCTTACATGATTATGCAGCATATTTTAAGTCAATGTAAACAATATA